TTCCTTCATACTAGTATCTTGAATCTGGGGACTATAAGACATGTTTTTTTGTGCCAAAAATGTTCCACCCAATATTCAGCTAAATAAAACGTCTGCTAACTTTTATTGAAATTTCTTCAAACTTTCAGAATGTTATTTTTTAACGCCAAATTTTCACACGACAGGCATGACTGCGACAGTGTATTCACATTTCTTTGGACTTTTATATGAAAAGCATCGAAAGTTATTTGTATCGCAAAACTTACATTTTTAAGAGTTTTCAAGAATATACATTTCAGACCTTTTTCAGTATTGCTATAACCTGAAAAATATTGTCAAAACTTGAAAATTAGAAATTATCCGTTTTGAGTGGAAATAATTACGATTCGAGTGGAAAAAATTCAAACCGAGTGGAAATTATCTGATCCGAGTGGAAAAAATCGAGTGGAAAAAATTCGATTCGAGTGGATATAATCCAACTCGAGTGAATTTTCTACCCAATCGAGTGGAAAATATCCAACTCGAGTGGAAATTATTCGATTCGAGTGGAAAAGATCGAGTGGAAAAAATCTTATTCGTGTGGAAAAAATCTTATTCGAGTGGAAAATATCCGAGTCGAGTGAGAAAAAATCTAATTCGAGTGGAAATTATCTGATTCGAGTGGACGATGAACCAAATCGAGTGGAAAAAGATTTTAACCCGGTTTTTGTTTGAAGTGTATAGCCAAATGTCGCTTGAGATTACCTTTGTGAAGACATTTTTTTCCGCAAACACCACATTTGAATCGTTTTTCGCCAGTGTGATGGACTTGCATGTGCTGCTTCAATTGGCTTTTGCGAAAAAATTTGTATGGGCAAAGATAACAATCGTATCGTCGGCCTTTGCAATGATCCTCATGCGATTGTTTCTCGTTTTCATTGGCGAACCGTCGGCCACATTGTGCGCAATCAAATAGAAGTTCTTTAATGTGGGTGCGTGAATGAACGTTGAGACTAATTTTGTGTGCAAATGTTTTGGTACAAATGCGGCATCTGAATGGTCTCTCACCATTGTGGATTCGCATGTGTTTCTTAAGATTCACCAATCGAAAAGTGCTTTTCTTGCAAAAATGACACTGATATTGAGGATGCTTGCATTCGCTTTCGTGGTTGATTTTATCGATTTCATGTGCAAAACCTCGACGACACTTCGAACAACAAAATGGAAATTTTGGAGCATGAGTTCTCTTATGTCGATTGAAACTACTTTTGTCTGAAAAAGCCTTGCCACATATTTCACATGCGAACGGCTTTTCGCCGGTGTGGGTACGAATGTGCACTGTGAGACTTCCTTTTTGCGATGTCACATAATTGCAGAAAGTGAATTTGTGTTTTTTCCCATGCTTCACGGACGGCTTCTTTGAAGGTTTGGCCATTCTGTCATTTTTTGAACCTTTTGACTTCTTCCGTTTTGAACGACCTTCTTTGCGTTGTTTCTTATTTGAATTTCGTTTTGAAGCACTTGAGCTTTCACCAATCTGATCATCATTTGCCATTCCATTTCCATCCTTCGCCGTGTCGCTCTTCAATTCATCTTCGCTTTTGATTTCTTTATTCACATAATTCAGCTTGCTTTCCAAATCGATCTCACTATCGCTCTCGCTCTCTGACTTGATGACTCCATTCGGTGTTGCTTGGGGCGATGACGGTGTGTGTTGAATCAAATAAGCGCTATCGCTTGGTTCTTGTTTGACATCGACTTCTTCTTTGATTTTAATCGACGGTTTCTTTTGATTTCGCTTGCATTTATGCTTTTTGGACTTTCCACCCAACGTTCTACTGCTGCGATACGGATTCATTTTCATCCACTGCTAATACGATATGAAAGTGAAATGCAAAAAAATTGTGAATCAAAAATTATAATTTTCATTCGTTCTAATGGGATTTATTGGATTCTGTCAGATTTAATCGATAAATTGAAATCAATCAGTAGATACCAAACAACGCAATTAAGCTTAAAACATACACCGATATGCTGCATGCCTCTCACAACTGATTCACATACACATACAAGAGTGAATGTGTGTTGGGTGTTGCCAAGCGTCCATTATGTAGAAATGACGTCATGGAAAAATTCTGAGATAAATCTAGACGCCATTTCAAATAGAAATGGAGATAGAAAATCTAGGGGAGTCTCTCACTTTTCTCAAGCATGAATATTTCAAGATAAAATCGATATTATCGAATAAGTAAGATTTCAAACGATATTTTCAATAAAAGCCGATAAAAGCAGTTTAAAGCAATATTTGTCAATTTTTTATGGATATTTCAATGCCAACTTAACCTGCTATACCGACTTGTCATGTTGATGAAGTACTAGATTATGTTATTAAAATTTTCTGTCTATTTTTCTCAACAACTAAAAAAATACGATATATTTTATCAAAATATTTTATTCAAGTTCATTTACATTTTGTGGGATTGGTGTTCAAAATATTCGCGAATAGTTAATCAAAATGCTCTAGAAAATGCTAGTCAAAAAATATTATGAATAATATAACCTCACTTTATTATGTATAGCAATTCAATTGTGTAATTGAAACAATTGAAAATGTGTTTAACACATCATTGATTGTGGTTACATATTCGATACTGGAACATATCGAGACGTAAGTTACCTAATATATTTGTCATTTGGGTCCGGACTCTGAGCAGTGAGCACTCCTGAATTACATAGAACCGTTCTATAAAAAGAAACACATTACGAGCTTTATTCCAGTAAATATCTTGATAGAATGATTATATTCGATGTTTTGAAGCAGTTTGGTGGCTTAAGCACTAAGCAGTATAAATGTTCATTATTTAAACGTGATCAGTGATCAATTGAAGGTTGGTGTTGTGTCACTGTATCAACATCATTTGTTTACTCTCCGCTGTTTGCCAGCACCACATGCGGACATCAAATAAATATGAGAATAAACAATAAGACTTCAGTAATTTCAACAAGTATTGGATTTATTTTATTTTGTTCAATTAATACGGATACGGAAACATAGAGGTGAAGAGACATGAATTTTTCTTTTCGGTTTTTTCATTAAGTGTATTATTATTTTAGACTTCTACACTATTTTTATTTTCTTTAGATCCAAAAATGGTGTATTTTCTAATTTAATTAAATATTGAATTCAAAACAAAGTTTTCGAATAAGTTGGATGTGGATTTTTCTTAATTTAATGGATATTTTTTACTGCAGCAACATAATTGTTTGTGGATTCGCATAAAAGAATTTCAATTTTCTACGAACTGATCGTAGTTCATTACCGTTGCAATTATTTCTTCAAACCGTGTTCCTTCTTCAAGTGTTGATTAACTAGTCCAAATAGAGAAAAACGACCGTCACATAGTTTGCATGGAAACGGCCTTTCGCCAGTGTGATAATTTCGCATGTGACCTTGTACTTGTTGTGATTTATGCTTTAAAACTTTGCATAAATAACACTGAAAAAGGCGACGCTTGCAGCGTGCTTCGTGTGCAACCATATCGTCTTCTTTAGCGAAAGATTTATGGAATTTTGAGCAGTGGACCGGTTTTTGTTTGGAGTGTGTGGCCAAATGTTGCTTGAGATGACCTTTCTGAAGACATTTCTTTCCACAAACACCACATTTGAATCCTCTCTCACCAGTGTGATGGACTTGCATGTGCAGCTTCAAATGGCTTTTACGAAAACATTTGTATGGGCAAAGATAACAAACGTATCGCCGGCCTTTGCAATGATCCTCATGCGATTGTTTCTCATTTTCATCGGCGAATCGTCGGCCACATTGTGCGCAATTAAATGGAAGTTGTTTGGTGTGAGTGCGTGAATGAACGTTGAGACTAATTTTGTGTGCAAATGTTTTGGTACAAATACGGCATCTGAATGGTCTCTGACCATTGTGGATTCGCATGTGTTCCTTAAGATATAACAATCGAGAAGTGCTTTTCTTGCATAAATGACACTGATATTGAGGATGCTTGCATTCACTTTCGTGGTTAATTCTATCGATTTCATGTGCAAAGCCTCGACGACACTTCGAACAACAAAATGGCAGTTCTGGAGCATGAGTTTTCTTATGAAGAATCAAAACATCCTTTCGTGCAAAAGCCTTGCCACATATTTCACATGCGAATGGCTTTTCGCCTGTGTGAGTACGAATGTGCAATGTGAGATGTCCTTTTTTCGATGTCACATAATTACAAAAAGTGCATTTGTGTTTCTTTTCATGCTTCGAAGTCGACTTCTCTGAAGATTTGGCCATTCGATCATTCTTGACGCCGTTTGAGTCCTTTCGTTTTGCTTGACGTTTTTTGTTCTGATCGCCTTTCGAATTTGGTCTCAAACTGCTTGAACTTTCCCCAATCCGATCAACGTTTACCATTCCATTTCCATCCTTTGTCGGGTCACACATTTTCTTCAAACATTCGTCTTCGCTTTTGACCTCTTTCTTCATATAACTCGGCTTACTTTCCAATTCTAGCTCACTATCACTCTCGCTTTCCGACTTGATGGTTGCATTCGTCGCAATTTGAGGTGATGATGGCCTCTCCTGAATCAAATAGGCACCGTCACTTGGCTCTTGTTTTATTTCTTGTTTGATTTCAATCTGCGATTCCTTTGGCTTCCTCTTGGATTTATGTTTTTTGGCCTTTCCACCCAAAGTTCCTTTCTTTCGATACGGATTCATTGTGACTCGATACTAATATAAGATGGAAACAAAATTGCAATGAATTTAGTAGATCTAAAAGTATAATTTTGTATAAATATCATTTGTTTTCTAATGGGATTTATTGCATTTTGTAAAATTAGCTTGATAAATTAAAATCAATCTGTAGATACTAAACAAGGCAAATGTGTAAATATAATCCATTTTTCTGAACATATCCTCAACAATTATTCTGAAAACATACACTGATAGGATCACATACACAAACAAGAGTGAATATGTGTTGGGAGTTTCAAAGCGTCCATCATGTATGAATGACGTCATGGAAAATTTCGGAGAAAAATCTAGACGCCATTGGCAATAGTGCAGATACAATTGTTCAACCAAAAAATGTCTATCAAAAAGAAACTAACGAGAAAGGAATGAGAATTCCCAGAATTTTAAAATGAAATGCAATTAAATATTCAATTGTGTAATTTTTTTGACAAATATCCCAACAACTTTTTCCATGACATTTATTCCCATGCACAGATTGTGTAATTGAATATTTTGTATGTAATTGTGTTCTATGTCTCTTGAGTTTTTGCTATCTAAATGCTCTGAATTAATTAAATATTTGGTGAATAAAGAGCAACGTTAATTTTATTTCCAAAACTTACCTTCGAATTGATTTGTGCAAAAATGTGTGCGTTTGTATTCTGATTGCAGAACAAAAGATGTGTGCTTCTTCCTCTAGTGTCCGACTGCGTATGACTCACACCATGAATAAGCTTAATGTTCGCTTTCCCTCGTATATATTACGTGTGCAACATTGCTTGTGTTAGGATTGGCGTGTGTGTATTTGACACGGCACACCGAAGTTGGCTGCAATGATTCATCATTAGAAAATACCATAGCTACACTACGCCACTATATGTTATAAAATCTTGTACGATCATATTTCTCTATTTCATATTTTTATTTATTTTTGATACTCTCTCTCTCTCCTTCTCTTACTTTCTTCATATTTCTTTCTTTCTTTCACTGAATCCTTTCTACTACTCTGCATTCCGTTGTAAAGTTTTATGTAGAAATGTTGGTTTTTGTTGCTATACTATGGTGCATTTGTTGAATTAGTATGTGTTAGCTCGAATTTTTAAAATTTCCAACATTTGGCTTTAGAAGTGAAAGACATCTTTTTCACAGAAAAAGCCTTTCTTGTCAGTTTTCATTTGATCACCAGAATATTATTCATGAAAAGGTGTCCATCAAAATCAATAATTAAGTGTGAAAAGAACACACTCCATGGAATGAACGATGTGAATGATTTAATTGAAAATAATGATGAGAGCGCAATTACAAAGGAATTTAAACAAAAGATCAATAATCAAAAACTTCAAGACATTCAAGGTGCTTCAAATCATTCTTTTATCATTCCAAAATGTGAAGAGTTGCAATTTGACGTTAAATTTACCTTTACTGATTATTATCATTCCTTCAAAGAATGAGCGAAATTCGCAGAAATGTGTGTGTGCTGGATTTGTGCACACTAAAGACACAATAGCGTGTATTTTGTGCACAGAATATGCACACACACATTTTTGGGTGAAAATGCATTACATTTGGTTTATTGGGCGATCTCCAGCTCCGCACATTTAACTTTACAAACTGAATTAAATTGTATCACATCGTAAAAGTGAAGAAACAGATAAAGGTGTTCATGATTCATACGAAATGGATTTATTTATTTGTTTTTTTGAGGACAATATAAATGAATATTTTATGCGTAGGAGATTAGAAGTATATTTTTACGATCCACAATAACGAAAAATGGATTGTTTTAAAATGAAAAAAATATGACAAATAGTATTGCAATCATTTCTTCAAACTGTGAACCACTTTCATGTGTCGATTAGCTCCTCCAAGCATTGGGAATTGACTACCACATAGTTTGCATGAAAATGGCTTTTCGCCGATGTGGTAGTTTCGCATGTGACCTTGTAATTGTGATGATTCATGCTTTAAAACTTTGCATAAATAACACTGATACAGGCGACACTTGCAGCGATCTTTGTGAACAATCATATCGTCTTCTTTTGCAAATGGTTTAAGGCATTCGGGGCAATGGACCGATTTTTGTTTGGAATGTATAGCCAAATGTTGCTTGAGATTACCTTTGTGAAGACATTTCTTTCCGCAAACACCACATTTGAATCGTTTCTCGCCAGTGTGATGGATTTGCAAGTGCAGCTTCAATTGGCTTTTGCGAAAAAATTTATATGGGCAAAGATAACAATCGTATCGTCGGCCTTTGCAATGATCCTCATGAGATTGTTTTTCATTTTCATCGGCGAATCGTCGACCACATTGTGCGCAATCAAATGGAAGTTGTTTGGTGTGGGTGCGTGAATGAGCGATGATATGAGATTTGTGTGCAAATTTTTCGGCACAAACATGGCATCTGAATGGTCTCTCACCATTGTGGATTCGCATATGTTGCTTCAGATTGTGTAAATGTTGAGTGGTTTTCTTGCAAAGATGACATGCATATTGAGGATGTTTGCATTCACTTTCGTGGTTGATTTTATCGATTTCATGTGCAAAACCCTGACGACACTTTGAACAACAAAATGGATGTTTTGGTGCATGCGTTCTCTTATGACGAATCAAATTTTGCTTTTGTGTAAAAACCTTGGCACATATTTCACATGCGAACGGCTTTTCGCCGGTGTGCGTACGAATGTGCACTGTGAGACTTCCTTTTTGCGATGCAACATAATTACAGAAATTACATTTGTGTTGTTTCTTCTGATGCTTCGAAATCGACTTCTTTGGACTTTTGGTCATTCGGTCATTCTTTGCGCCTTTTGACTTCTTCCGTTTTGCTTCACGTTTTTTGTTCTTATCGCCATTCGAATTTGGCGTTGAACTGCTTGAAATTTCCCCAATCCGATCATCGTTTGCCATTCCATTTCCATACTTTGGGGGGTCACAAGCTTTTTTCAAACACTCATCCTCGCTTTTGATCTCTTTCTTCAAATAACTCGGCTTACTTTCCAAGTCTAGCTCACTATCGCTCTCGCTTTCCGATTTCATGGTTACATTCGTCGCAATTTGAGGTGATGATGGCGTTTCCTGAATCAAATAAGCACCGTCCATTGGCTCTTGTTTTATTTCTTGTTTGATTTCAATTTGCAATTCCTTTTGCTTTTGCTTGTATTTGTGCTTTTTGGCCTTTCCACCCAAAGTTCCTTTGTTTCGACACGGATTCATTTTGGATCGGTGCTGCTATGGAAGGAAAACAAAATTGCGGAAATGTTATAACTCTAAATGTAACTTCTATTAAAATCTATTTCGACTCTTAAAATCCTCTTTATGTTCAAGTTAAATTCAATACTAAATGTATACTTAAAAATGTCAAGTGTTCAAATATATTCCACGTGCTGAACATAACCTCAACTAAAATGCATAAACCATACACCAATAAGCTTTATGTGTATGGCTCACATGTACACAGGAAATACAATACAAGGATATCGGCACGAATGTGTGTTGAATGTCGCAAGTCGTCTATCATAAAATGACGTCATGGAAAATTCCAGAGAAAAACGCAAACTGTCAAGAGAGCAAAAATGCCTGAACTAACTGAATCAACTAACAAAATATAGTGAAAATTCTCAGAACTACAAAATGCTTGCATTTAGATATTTAACTGTGAATCTTTTTTCTGTGTTAACCTATTGTAGTTTTTTTTTTCAGAAATCTATTCCCTAATAAACATTTTGCGCAAATTTATTTTCTCCATTGAATTTTTTTGCAGTTTTTTTCCGAATTTCTCAAATTGTGCCTATTGCAATGTTAAATTGTATTTTTCCCATAACTCACCTTCTAATTAACTTGTGCCGGAATTTAAAACTTATGAGCTCATTGTTCAGAGCAAAAGACGTGTGCTGCTTCTTCTAATGGCTGCCTATTTATGACTCACAAATGTTCTCACTCCATAGTCTGTGCAATGAATCAACACAATTTGATCATTCGCTCGACATGTATGCAATTTCGCTTGTGTTAGTTTGCCAATTTGACATGACAGAATGAAGTTGTTCGTAAATTGAATCTCATTTAAATTTAATTCAAACAGGAACAATACGCATGATTTTTTATTATTATTTTATGGGGTTTAAATAGGCAAAAGTTGCGAATTGTTTAATGCATTGCTGGTGTATTGAATGAAGTATTCAGTTTGGCAAGAAAGAAAAATGACAAGTAATGAACAAGTGATTGTAAATTTACTTCCTCAGTAGTATCAATTAAAATCGTTAACGATAAGTACCACCTTTTACATTTTAAAGTATCAAATGTATTTATTGATGGGGGCTTGAAAAGTGAGACTTAAAATGTAAATAGTTTTTGATGCAATCTAGTTGTCAACCGTCTAATGAACGGCCTAATATGTTTGTATGCAGAAATTTCTAATCGTTGAAGTTCACATAACATTGTTTAGCGTCATCATCCAGTAGTGAATTGTTCGAGTTGATATGTTTGCCATAGCGTGCAATTTTCTGGCATTGGTTGATATTTATTGGTGTTTTGCAAAATAAATGTGCATCGCCTTAAATCGGAGAATTCTGTAAACGATCTTTCCGTTTTCTATTGTGTAAATGTACGTTGTTGTGCGTGTGCTCACTTCTTCACCTATACCCCTCTTTCCACCCATCTCCTCTTTCTACCCCTCTCTCTATCATCATCTCTATCTTTTACTGAAGAGAGTGAATCTCCCTTCCCTCCATTTGTTGCCTCATCCGCAACTCACGCTTCAAATGAGCATTTAATCCATTTTTCATTTTCAATGCACCTGTTTTAATGCTTTATATATTCATCCGTATTTTTCGTTGCTATGCAATTTAATGAATTTCGCCAGAGTTTATGTGAATTCTTTCGAAGATGCATTCCTCACCGACTACAATTTAATATATTATCATTGCATTCAGTCGGCAACCAGCCACACTTAAATTCATTCTAATGATGATGAAATATGCATTCATTTTTCACGTTATTCTTCTGATGATGGCCAGAATAATAAAATAGAATCCAATGTCCGGCATCAAATCCAACCAGTTGTATGTGCGTTTTAAATGAAACCAAATTGTATTTAATTCGCTTTGCGGACGAACTTCAATTATTTGGCCAGCTTTAGTTTATAATCTTCACGATACTCACAGCACTGTACACGATGTTAAAACGAAAAACGTGATGCATCTAAATTATGTAATATGCATTTACATACTTCATGCCATTGCTCAGGTGGTTTTATTCAAACATATTATTTGACACAACGTACACATCCTAAGCCAAAATATTGATTAGAACAGATTTCATTTGTGAAAATTTCCGGTCGGAATACGAAATATGCTCGAAACATACATTTCAACTTAGTTAATATGGTGTTTTTTTTGTGCAGAAAATCTTGCTCTAAGCACACACTATATGATTGTAATTTAACACGTTTTGCTTCTGCTTCGGTGAAATTTTTCGACATTACTTCGACTTTTACATGAATTACATTGAACAAAACTATTTGTTCGAGTAAATTTCATTTTGTTTTTTATGCTGGCCTAATTCTTTTTTGGTTTGATGATCCAAACATAGAAAAAATGCTGGTTGGGGAAAAATATTCGACTTTCAGGCGAATTTTTAATGAGAAACGATGGGTTTTTAATTTGGATTGAAGAAAAGCGAGAAAAATTACGAATACTCAGCAAAAAATTGAGGTGCCGTGGTAAAAGTGTAAGAAATGAAGAAACAAATAATTCTTTTCTCTGTTTACAATGACAAAACAGTCGTTACGATTTAACTTAAAGTCTCAATTGTTTGCTTCGCTCATATAAATTCATTGTTTTTCCTGCTGTCGCTTTGTGAGTGATTTCGGTCATTCTTTCATACATCACAGGGTGGGCCAACGGTCTCTGAAATACATGGAATGGGTGAAGGTTGGAGGATAGATAGAAGAGGAATGGATTGAGGGATGTGATAACGGAGAACCCTCCTTGAATCCCAACATGAATCATTTGAGTTAATCCCCCCTTACGTGTGCCGTAGCAAAAGTATGAAAGGACCTGTTCAGCTTTTTCTCTCGCGATGGTCCCCATTTAACTTACCTAGACAGGTGAACTCTTTTTCGAAAAAAGTGGACAATTTCAGTGAAAACAGAAGCATACAAAATATTGAATGAAATCAAATTTTTACCATAATGAAATATTTGTCGATGAGTATTGCTGCAAACTGCCTGCAGGTGATTTCCTCGCCAAAACTTACCAGACGCGCCTAACTTTCCATTGAAAACCAATTTAAATTCGAATTCTACTCGACGAAACACTGAATCCAAATAGAAAGCGAACAAATTTCATTTGGGAAATCAAATTGATTTTATTGTCAAACAGTATCGAATAGTTAAGTTGATTTATTTGTATGCAAAATGGGTTTTGTGAGTTGTACAATATATATTATATATGTATATTGCGTACGTGCATTTTCTTCATTCGTACGCTGTGATAAATATTGGGTATTGTATAAATCAAACAAACGTTAAATCTATGATGCTAAATCTGTGCCTTATTATAAATACTTAGCTACACATTCGTTTCCTTAAGCTTTTTAAACATGAATTTTTTTTGTTGTTCTTGTGATTTTTATTCGTTTCTCAATTTTTTTTTTGTCTTGTGTAATTTTTTTCTTTTTTTCTTTTTCTTTCAATATTGATTGAACAATCCGATTGAATATGGCTTTTTTGTTGGTCTGCGATGAGCCAAGCAAAAAACTAAACAAACAAATGCAGATGAAAAATGGCCCCGAAGCGTAAAATGATCGGCAAAGATTAGCAGCAGCAGCAACGGAATTCAGTTGCAAACAGCATTCGTGTCTCATTCGAATTGATTACGGATTGGTTCACGATTGACCTGCAAACAAAAAATGGAGACGATGAATTGAGTTGTAAGATAATAGTTTTGTTTTCAATCAAAAAGTTTTTGCAGAGCTAAATGGGAAGAAAATAAGATGCACCAAAAATGCACCGACAAACACATGTCAAATGCTGAATTTTCAAATAAAACACGATCATTTTATGAGAGATGGGAGTGTAGGAAGACGGAAAAGGCACCGGAATGAAAGTTGCTAATTAAAAATTCTTCTTCGATAATAAATTGGAAAGCGAGAATAAAATGAAACGAACGAAAAGTTTGGAGGTGGAGCGCAAGTTTTTAATTTAAGTTTTGCACGTTTATTCGCGGAAGAAAAACATGGTTTTTTTCTCACAATCTCTGATTTTCTTTCTTTTTAGAATTTTTGTCAGACTATGCCGTATTTTGAACTTTCTCATTTTCATTTGGCATCAAAAAAATTCAACGTTTCCCTTCAAATAATCGTTTGTCCGTAGAAAAATCTTTCCATCTCCTTTGAGCAGAAATATTGACAAGGTCGCCCGAGTTTTTAACCCGATATTGTTGATATTACTGAAAGCCATTCACCGAAGGGGAAACATTATTTTCCGTGAAAAGCTTTCCAACGAACTTGCACTTGTAACAGGCGCTCATACCGGTGCTCGTCTCCCATTGTGGAGAAGAAAAAAAAAAACGATGCCGAATCTTAAAATCGATAACTGACTACATTATAACAAAGCAACATTCAAGTGGATTGAATGAAAAAGAAAGCTCGACGATGGAAAACATGATTCTGATGGAAAAACATATGACTTTTTGTTTCGCACCAAAGGCATTTCGCTCGGAAACTGCATGGAGAATGTGTTTCGTGGAAAATTGACTTTACTCGCAAACTAGCTGAGTTTGAATTGCTTTTTTTACTCATTTTCTTCCGTAATCCAACTGCCATACAAAATTGATGACAACATGTTTTTTTTTGCTTACATTTGTTGCAGAAATAAAAAAAAACTTTTTCAAAAGAAATTGAACTTTTAATATCGGTGCAAATTTTCACGCCGATAAAAAGCTTGCAATCCGCTTTTCGGTAGAATGCAAGTTTCGGCAATGTTAATTATTTGTTGTTTATCCTTATATGTGGGTTTGGCATTTTCGTCAGTTCGTTGCTACATCACTAATTATCACCGTTTAAAACTATCATTTATTCAGTTTGTTTTGGTGTCAAAATCCTTTTGACTCGATGCTTCATCCGGGTTTGCCGGTTCCATCGCGAGAGAACGGGTGGCGAAAGCATATAAATCAATGAGTTCGTTGGACGGGAATGTTCATTTTGAAGACGTGTGCGCGTAAAATGTGAATAGGCAAAGAAATGTGTAGAGTGTTTCGCATACTGTACACCAATTTGTTATCTGAGCGGTAATGGCAGTATAGCAACCGTGAATGAATAGAGGTCAAACGAAGTTGCTGCATTTCGAAAATAAGGCGCATTGAATTGAAAATAGCGCGCGTTCAACGAAAATTGATGCAATAAATCAACACATATACAATGTGTATGCTTGAGTTTCAGGAATTAATTCACCGTGGCAATGGATTGTATGTGTGTATATACCACGACCGAAGCGTAGAGGTTGTTTGCGTAATTAAAATTGAAGCGCATTTTCAGCATTGCACGATAAAAGAGCAAGGAGACATAGTAAATGGAAGCAAAAGACAAATTGATTGAACGAATTTTGTGAATGTTTTTGAATGCTATTCAAATAATGTGGACGTTGCAGTTTTCACGAGGCTGATGAAGGAATTCACATCATTCTTCATCGAAACAAGCATTTTGCTGGCAGGCCGTAAAACGCAGTAAATGAAGTGAATTAAGACGAGAGAGATGAGAGAAGGGGGGAAGGGTAGAGTTAGGAGAAAGAATGAGGCGAATGAAGGAAAGGGGAGGAAGGGGAAGGAAAGAGGTTTATACTAAAAAAAGTGTGTGAATTACTGCGAAGAGAGAAAATCTCGCGGTAAATATACTCACTTCAAAATTTTTGATGGTTTCACTGACTTTCGATGCGACTGAGTTAAGTGTATAAACTGATGTATAGTTGAGATTATTGATGGCATTAAGACCGCCATTGCGACCAAATGATCCAAGTTCTTGTGCTAAATTCCGACTGTTATGTTTGACTCGAATGGGTTTAACTGGATGATTGACGGATTGTTGTTCATGTGCTTCGGCGGCCAATATTTTAATACGATCTTCATCTTCGCGCCGGCATCGATTTAATTCAATGATTTTATGTTCAAGTTGAACAACTTCCTCCTTCAATTCCGAATTATTCAATTCGCTCGTCATCAGATCCTTTTTGCACTTGTCCAATTTGGCTTTCATTAAATTCATTTGGGTGCGATGTAACTGCTCCAAATCGTTGTACATATTCGATGTCATTCTCATTTCTTCTTCATACGTTTCGATTTTGGTGCGTGATTTTTTTCGCTCTTTTTCAAGCGTATCCACGTACGTTTTCAATTTTTCATATTCGGTGGTCAAACTATGAAAATCACTTTGCAATGATTTATATTTGTCAGCCTCATCGCGACTAATGCGGTTCAATTTGGTGAGCCGTCTCTTTAGCATATTTTCTTCATCTTCAAGTTGTGCAATTCGCTCTTGGGCATAGTGTGCATCGCTGTTCAATCGTTTTTCCAATTGATTGATTTTCGATCGTAACAATGTATTATCGTCTTGGCTTCGATTTAATTTATCTTTATATTCACGTTCCATTTGTGCCCATAAATTGTCGGCACGTTCAAGTGTTTCATTGTATGCCCGATTTATTTCGGCTATTGTATCAGTAAGATGTTGTTCGCGACGCACCAATTCAATGAATTTATCACCATCCGGACAAATGTGCTCTTTATTGCACAAACAACCCGTTGACAATCGTCCGGTCGTTTCGTATTCGGATGCTTCACCGTGTACCATCATTGTTTCTTGATCGGTTAATGCACGCGGTTGACATTGTTGCATTTTCCATGCATGATACAATAAAATTGCCGGCATAAATGAACTTATCAATTGTAATTTGTGATGAACATCATTGCGATCGGCGTCAAGCATTAACATTTGGTCATTTAATTGATTTAATGATTCTTGCAAACATTCCGCGTTCGCTTGTGCCGTTTCGCATGACATTTCCAATTCGGAATTACGTTGCGTTAACATTTCCAAATCGACTTCGAGCCGCTGCAATTGCAAACGTGTATCGTTTTCAACCTCTTCCAATTCACAACGTTCTTCGTCCAATTGACGATTGACTGTTTCGAGCTTTTCGACACGTTGTTTCAGCAATTTTACTTGAGCATCCAATTGAATTTCGTTCTGTAAACGAGCGGCCAATCGACGTAATTGCACATCACCGCTACTTTCGTAAATTGCCACCTTATTTTCAAGCAATTCCAAACGATCGCGATAGTATTGTAATCGTGTTTCGTCAAGCTTTGATAGTGGACTCAATACACCGATGTCCAATGACGGTGAATTCATATTCGTACATTCTTCAATTTTCTTTCGGAATTTATTCAATTTCTGAATTTCGGCACAGAGATCACTATTGTTACAGCCAGTTGTTGGCGTTTCGTCGGATGGTGGAAAATCATCGAAATTCGTTTGTGTACCTTGATTATCCATTATTGGAAGCGTTGAATCACCATCGAATACACCACT